ACAACGAGAGAGGAGAAATCTGAAAAAATCATTTTCTCTCTCTCTCTCTCTCTATCTCTCCATATTTCCCTTAGCCAAATATTTTCCTTCCCTCTTATTTTTCTTATTTTCTTTAAATTCTGCAAGTGTCCAAACTATCGTTAGCTTTTATTCGTCGATCATTAAAATCGTGCGCATCGTTGGTTCGGTTATTACTCGGAATGAGAGGAGAAGAGGAGGAAGAAGAGGAGGAAGAGGAGGAGGAGGAAGAGGAGGAGGAGGAAGAGGAGGAGGAGGAGGAGGAAGAGGAGGAGGAGACCACGCAAAATCCATGCAGAATTATGATAGGCTTGACAGAATGAAAGAGACTGGTAGGCGTTACATATATGCGGTATTGTATGAGAATGAGTGAGCGATCAAGAGAGAAAGAGACAAACAGAATGAGAAAGAGAGAGATAGATATAGAGACAGACAGATAGATAGATATAGATAGAGAGAAAGAGAGAAAGAGGGAAGGTAGAACGACGACCATCATCACAGGCAGCAACCACCAACCGATGGTCAACGGCTGTTACGATGGCTTTGAATGCCGAATATGTGCGTTGCCTCTGTGATGCTGCTATTGGTACGATCAAGGCCGTTGATTCAATCCATGGCGTTATCCTGATTCATAAGCGTCGTCGTTGCTGATGATAGTACGACGAATGACGCGAAATCATCGTTAAAAGGGTATTCCCGTGAATATAAGACTGATCAAATATCTATCGTTCAAAATCGTTTCAATAATAATTAATACAAAATTTTGACATGATCTTTTTTAATATAGCTTAGAGAATCATTAAAACGTTTGAATTAAATGTTAGATAAAGAGAGAGAAAAAAGATATCGATCGAAGATCGATATTATTCGAACTGAATATTAAATATATATATATATATATATATATATATATATATATACTCATTTTTATTATATATTCAAACAAAATGAATTAGATAAAAGCTGTAGTTTGACATTAACACGAAATACGTATGAACGTGCATGCGAGAGAGAGAGAGAGAGAGAGAGGGCGGGAGGAAAGGAGGTAGAGGGAGAATGTGTCTACAAGGGATTATTTGTTTATCCCATGCATACATGACTCGTAGCAATATGTTCATTGTTACATTGAAGCCTAGTATGTACGCATATACTTGATCGCACGTGCATAGTCCTGATAATACACATTCACATCTACATACATACACACACACACACACACAGAGAAAGAGAGAGAGAGAGAGAGAGAGAGACATATGTACAGACTGACGTATGTGTAAACTTGCGTATACATATGTAAGTATATACACGTCTACTTGGCCTTTGCTATTTACACGGGCTAATGAATTTCGCACATAATTAGCGTACACGGAGTAACTATAATCAAGTGTATGTATGTCCCTTAAAGTATATATATATATTTATATTTTATATTCAATACTTTTGATAAATCTTGCTTTCTAAATCTTCAAGCGGATACGTTCTTTAAAGTTCCCGAAAAATGATCTACAAAATATATATATATATATATATAATATATATACATATATATAATATATATATATATATTTTGTTGTATTAAAGAATGAAGTTAAACAAATGAGAATATTAAACGAAGGATTAAATGAAAATCACTATGACCCGTTTCGTTTTAGATGTGATGAGAATGGAAGAGACAATGCAAGAGTACGATAGAAGGATTCTGAACGTTGTCGGTTGTCACAGTCGTTGTAATCGTTTGTATAGTCATAGTCGTCGTTGGTCGTTAAGTTAATTCAATTTATCTTACGTATTCCACCAGGACGAGGCGAGCTAACTTAGCATTCAATCGAGTTTTAAGTAATAAAGGGAATATTTTTGAATTTCCTCGTACTAACTATATCCCACCGTCTCTTGATTTTTCTTTTTTTTTTCTTTTTCTTTTTTTTTTTTTTTTACTCTTTTCGTTTTTCTTTCTTTTTCCCCAACGACTTTTCTCTCTCTCTCTCTCTCTTTCTCTTTGTGTATATATACATATATATGTGTGTGTGAGAGAGAGAAAAAAGAGAGAGAGAGAGATACAGGGAGAGGAAGGGAGATAGAAAGGGATAGAGACAGAGAAAAAGGGAGAGAGAGAAAGAGAGAGAGAGAGAGTGAAAAGAAATTCGATTACAAACGTTGCCTTCGACAATACTACCACCATCATCACTATTATTATTACTACTGCTACTACTACTACTACTATTACTACTACATTACTACTACTACTACTACTATTACTACTACATTACTACTACTACACTACTACTATGACTACTACTATTACAATTGTCGCTTTGAAACAATCCCAATGGTTCTATCAATGTATCTATCTTTCTATATATCAAACTATCTATCTATCTATCTATCTATCTATCTATCTATCTATTTATCTATCTATCTTACTCGAAAGGACAGTACTCGATCGACCAACCTCAACACCCTCCCTTTTTCTCTCCATTTTATG